TGAGCACTTTCATATACTATGGGAAGATAATTTGGTATAATCTGTCTAGAATGTAGTTTGGCATGGTATATTCAAAAGCCTTAGGTTCATAATCTTTGACACAGAGATTTTACTTTTAAGAGTTCATCCTGTAGGAACAACCACAGTTGAGAATAAAGATATACAAATGAAAATGTTCATCACAGCATCAAAATAAGAGGAAATAGAAAAAATATTTTTGAAATAAATTAAATGTCGCAGAGTAGGAAAATGTTTAAGTAAAAATGATACATTTCTATTTTAAACTGTTGGGCAGTCAAAAAAATGTTTAATTATATTATAATGAAATGATAATTGTACAAGGAGGATACAAATTTATATACTGTATGATTCCAATTATATAGAATATGTATTCTCTATTTACTTTGTACATCCATTATACACACACAGAGCCACATTCTGGGTTCAACAGTAAAAGCACACCCAGAGATGTGGTTCAGTAGTTGAGCATCGACCTAGGATTCAGATCTTGGTTCGATTCCTGGTCAGAGCATATGCCTGGGTTGAAGGCTCCATCCCCAACAGGGGGTGTGCAGGAGGCAGCTGATCAAAGACTCTCTCTCATCACTGATGTTTCTATCTCTCCCTTTCTCTCTCTGAAATCAATAAAAACATATTAAAAAAAGGACCTTCCTGAAGCCACTGAGGTCTTTCCCAGTCTGCCAGGGTGGGTGACGGGTTTTAGATATTCATCACGTCCAGTGACTTAGCTCTGTTCCTGGCAACGGTTAAGCTAAGATGGCTGAAAGCAGACTAACACAGTTGCACACTCTCTGCCCTGACCCTGTCCTGGGATAGACTGGGACCAGCCCTTGTCCCCCTACTTCATGGGCGACTGGAACTCAAGAGCACAAGATATTCCGTGTTGCTCCAGGCGCTCTTGATGGAAAAGACAAACCCTCAGAGAAGAGTCAGGCGCGCACAGCAGGACAAATGCTCCAATGGCAACCTGGCCTCTTCGCTCTCATCCTGGCCTGGAGCGGCCAACCCAATACCTGTGTGAACTGCGAATGTGAAAAAAAGGAACACTTCATGACACTGACCTGTGTGCAAGGCCTGGCTGCCTTCAGCGCTGAGGTTCCAGGAACCCAACGTCTGCTCCCTGGAAGAAAATCATAAGACTTTAGTTGAGCATCATGTGGCCAGAAATTCAGGTGTTACTGCGGGCATTAGCATCAAAGAATTGCAAGCTCATAACTAGACAACAATAAAATCATTTTGGGAGTCCTGCCTTCTGGTTACTCTGACAGACACTGGGGACAGCACAAATAGGATGTTTCAAGATGCAGAGAGGATAGATTTGAGGAGATCAGAGCCCTGGCCGGTATGGCTCAGTTGGCTGGAGCGTTGTCCAATATGCCGAAAGGTTGCGGGTTCAATTCCCTGTCAGGGTGAGTATGGGAGGCATCTGATGGATGTTTCTCTCTCACACTGATGTTTCTCTTTCTCTTCCCCCTTCTCCTCTTTCTAAAATCAATGAACATAGCCCTAGCCAGTTTGGTTCAGTGATTAGATCTTTGGCTCGCAGACTGAAGGGTTCCAGGTTCGATTCCAGCCAAGGGCATGTACCTTGGTTGCAGGCTAGGCCCCATTCAGGGTGTGTGCACGAGGCAACCAATCAGTATGTCTCTCTCACACTGATGTCTCTCTCTCTCTCTCTCTCCCCCCCTCTCCAAGCAATGGGGGGGAAAAATCAATGAACATATCCTCAAGTGAGGATTAAAAGGGGGGGGGAAGGCAATTAGAGGTTGATTATATTATCCCTGATAAATTTCCACATGTTCCAAAACTAAATTAAATGAGAGGATTGGATGTTTACGTGACCTTTTAGAAATTATAAAAGACATTCAGCCCTGGCCAGTGTTGCTTAGTAGTTAGAGCATCAGCCTGCACACCAAAGGGTTGCAGGTTCGATCCCTGGCTCTGATCAGGGCACATGTGGGAGGCAACCAATAGATGTGTCTCTCTCACATCAATGTTTCTCTCTCTTTTCCCCTCCTTCCCTCCCTTCCACTCTTTCTAAAAAGCAATGGAAAAAATATTCTCAGGTGAGAATTAACAAAATAAAATAAAATAAATTCCCTTTTTAAAAGGAAGACGTTCACCTGTATCAGTTGAACCTCATGGGAGGAAGAAGGGGAGACTGAGTCAATCCCCTGCCCCAGGGCGCCCATAGGGTGACCAACTCACCCAGTTTTCCCTAAGAAGATATAAGAAATAAATGCATTTTGAGGTCTTGGACAGGGGCAGAGAGAGGAAACTAGTGAAATCCGAATAAGGAGTGGAGCTGAATTCAAATAAATGTACCCACATCTGTTCCTTGGTTGTCACAAATGTACCATGATTATGGAAGATGCAACCACTCGAAAACTGGGTGATGGGTAGATGGGAACTTGCTGTACTATTTTTGAAACTCTTCTGAAAATCCAAAACTATTTTAAAGTTAAAAGTGTATTTAACAAAATAACGCAATGAAAAATTTTTAAGTGCTGGTTCCTTTCTCTGAGTTCCAGGCTAATTTGTTAGTATAAGGCCAGGACGGTGAACTGAAATCCCCACTGTAACCTGAAGGTGGCACCAGTGCTCCAGGAATGCCGTATGCTCTTTGGAATCTAACCCAGCAGCGTATGCTCTTCCAGGCCACCACTTAGGACGGGGAACTGCTGGGGCACTGGAGCAAGAGGGACACCTGGGGACTATCCTGCCAAGTAACAGTGGCTGGAAGAGGTGAAAGATGAAAGGGCTGGAGCAACATGCCCATGAACCTGGAGGCCAAGACTTGCCTCAACCTTGCAAGAACCATCTATGTATATGATCCTTCAAATTTTTTTTTTTTTTTTTGGAATCAATTAAAGACTCACAAGAAATTGCAAAACTAGTAAAGAGGAGTCCCAGGCACCCTTCACCCAGTTTCCCAGATGATAGCTCCTTACACAACTAAGAGGCATTATAAAAACTAGGAAACAGTGACTAATAAACTAAGCACCGTTTTTTAGACAGTCTTATTAAGATATAATTCTGATGCCACACAATTCACCCATTTAAATGCATGATTCAGTACGGGTTTTTCTGTATATTCACAAAGTTGTGTGACCATCACAATTATATTTTAGGACATTTTCATCATCCTTAAAAGATACCCTGCCCCCCATCAGCAGTCACTCCCCAGCCCTTGGCAACCACTAGCCCATTTCCTGTTTCTGAGGATCTGCCTGTTTTGGACATTTCACATAAATGGAATCACACACTATATGACCTTTTGTGTTTGGCCTCTCTTGCTGTGCATCATGTTTTCAAGGTCCATCCACATTGTAGCAAGTGTCAGTGTCTCATTGCTTTTCATGGCCGAGTAATATTCCACTGTGTGGATGGACACATTGTTATCCATCATCCACTAATGGACAGTTGGGTTGTTTCCACCTTTTGGCTGTTGTGAATCGTATTGCCGTGAGCACAGGAGTTTTATGAATCACTTAAAAATGGTTTCTCATTCTGCCCTGACATCTACCAACTGCAAATCTCCCCATCCCCGGCCCTTTAACAACAGCTGCAAGCTGCTGTCCTTGAGCCCTTGGACTTGGACTTGAGCAGTGAGGTGATCTCCACCCCTGCTGCCCTTGGCCCAGACCAGCTTGGGCCGGGGCAGAGAGCAGCCTGGACAAAACACATCCCTGCAGCTCCATCCCCAGGGTCATGAGATGGCAGGCTGTGAGCTCTACCAGCTGGCACCGAGCTATCCGCATGACCTTCACAGGCTTGCTCACCCAGACAGAACGCTGGACTTTCACTTTCTCGTCAGAGTGAATCCCAAGCCCCCCAGAAGGGTCAGCACGGAAAAGAGGAGGTGGGACCTCTCCATAGGACCCGCTAGAGAATTTTCAGAGCCAGCAAAAAAATGAAACAGTAGGACCCCTGGTTCAAGAATTAGTGCAAATTTCAAGATGGCAACAGCTGGGTGCGCAGGAGCCTGCAAAACCCACACAGACCCTGCCCTTAGGAACTACCCACAAAGCAGGGTAGATAAACCTCAGACACAAATAATGAACACTCTGGGTAGAAAATCCCAGGTGCTGTGAGGGAGAAATAAATCCTTAAGGAAACAGGGGCCTTATTTACCATGGTGGTGATCAGGGATGCCCTCAGGAAGGACTCACACTTACTCTTGTGGGCAGCATTTCCTACAACCTGTGAGCCCCATTGTCCACATGCCTTTTTTAAAAATTGAGATATATTCACATACTATAAAATTCACCCTTTTAAAGTGTCTGATTCAGTGCCTTTAGGATATTCACAGGGTGTACAAGCATCACGCTATATAATCCCAGAACACTGCCACTGCCCCCTGAAGAGACTGTGACCATCAGCATCATATGGTTCAAAGGTGAGTCTCCCCAGGAGAGACAAGATCCCAAATGGCAAGAATGTCATGTGTTTTCCTTGCATGGTGGTTCCAATAGCTTTCATGGAGCCCACCTATAGGGAGGGCTCAGTAATTCCTGTAGGTGGTAAGGGAACACAGCCTATGGAGCAGGAGGATGTTGGGGAGAACAGGCCAACCCCAGAGCTGGGTAAAGTTGGGCCCCTTCCTGCCCAGAACCTGGCCTGAAATAGACAGGGACATTTGGGAACCCCACTGCATTCCTATGGGCTGGGCACAGGGGCATGGTCAGCACAGGCTTGGCTTGGAGCCAGGCGTGTAATGTGGGCTAGTTCTCAGCTGCAGACTTCAGCTGTGTCATCTGTCACCTTGAAAAAGGAAGACAAAAACCACGATCTCAAACCAAGAGTACTTGAGGGTCTTCCTTCATTAATTTCCTAGATTTTTTTTCCCCCTTACAATTCAGAAAGGGTTCAATAGATTTGTCAGATTATCAGCTAATGGGTCTAAGCGGTGGGTAGTGGGCAGGGACACAGGTGACCGGATCCTTAGTTCCCAAACCTGGATGTTTGAAACTGCTAAAAAGAGGGCCGTGAAATTGGCTTATTGAAATCCCTGATAAAGGGCTGCAGGAACCCGTCACCAGTAAGGAGCTGAGGAACCAGCCCCAACTGACCCAGGATGTCAAATCTAGGCAGGAAGCCAGCAAGTCCCTACCTACTTCTCTAGATCAGAGCTACCAGAACTTTTTCAAAGGGTTTGCACAACCAACATCGGCACAAATGCTGCCCTCTCCCCCTCTAGAATCTGGACCCCCTCCCCCCACTGCTTACATTTGGGGCAATCGTTCTCTGTGGGGCCGTCCTGGGCACCGTGGGGTGCTGCAGCATTCCTGGTCCACCCACTCAATGACAGGAGCTCCTGAGGTCATAAGGCCATAGATGTCCCCAAATGTCATCCATTGTCCCCTGCAGGGAGGAGGGGGAAACACTGCACTACAGCTTCCTGAGCTGCTTTTTCATCTTAAAGGGTAAATCCCTTTTCAGGCAGGACCCTGTTATCGACCTCATGGGGTGGGGGGGGGTGCAAAGGGGTACTCACAGAGAACTGGGGGACATAGAGGCCCATGTGCTGTGCAGGTGGCATGGAATGTGACTTTAACCCATCAATCCTGAAGCCAGGGGCTCTGGGCAGATTTTGAGGCACACCTGAGACCCAGGATTGATTACACTTTCTCATGGAGCAGCAGAGAAGGGACACACCATACTTGTCACTCCTGCCAGATATAAATACATTTAAATTGTGTGCTCTCACCCTGGCCAGTGTGGCTCAGTGGATCAAGCGTTGTCCCATGCACCAACAGGTTGCCAGTTCAATTTGTGATCAGGGCACATGTCAGGGTTGCGGGTTCGATCCCCAGTAGGGGGCATGCAGGAAGGAGGCAGCCAATCGATGTTTCTCTCTCCCCCTCTCCCTCCTCTCCCTTCTTTTCTCTAAAATTAATTTTTTTAAAAAATTTTTTAATTGTGTGTTCTCTGTTTGAGTTTGATTCTTGGGGCAGGGGGACAAGGATATCACAATGGCTGTGGCCCTCCAGGAGCCCCAGCACGTAATGGACACACAGTATGTTGGTGTTATGAGAGTTTCCTACAGAGTGGCTTATAAACACTGGTTTCTTCTGAGGAAAAAAAAAACAGCATTCCACACCAATTATTGGCAGG